ATCGCTTCAGCTACACCATCAACTTCAGCTACACCATCAACTTCAGCTCGCCATCGCTTCAGCTATGCCATCAACTTCAGCTATGCCATCACTTCAGCTATGCCATCAACTTCCTTCGCCATCAACTTCAGCTACACCATCAACTTCAGCTACTCCATCAACTTCAGCTACGCCATCAACTTCAGCTTCGCCATCAACTTCAGCTCGCCATCAGCAAGCTGCACCATCAACAAGCACACCATCAACTTCAGCTACCATCAACTTCAGCTACACCATCAATTTCAGCTACACCATCAACTTCAGCTACACCATCAACTTCAGCTATGCCATCAACTTAAGCTACACCATCAACTGAAGCTACACCATCAACTTCAGTTACACCATCAACCAAGCTACACCATCAACTGAAGCTACACCATCAACTTCAGCAACACCATCAACTTCAGCTACACCATCAACTTCAGCTACACCATCAACTTCAGCTACACCAGCAACTTCAGCTACACCATCAACTTCAGCTACACCATCAACTTCAGCTACACCATCAACTTCAGCTACACCAGCAACTTCAGCTACACCAGCAACTTCAGCTACACCATCACTTCAGCTACACCAACCTTCAGCTACACCATCGCTTCAGCTACACAACTTCAGCTACACCAGCAACTTCAGCTACACCATCCTTCAGCTACACCATCAACAAGCTACATCAACAGCTACCATCACTTAAGCTACACCATCAGCAAGCTACACCATCACTTAAGCTACACCATCACTTCAGCTACACCATCCTTCAGCTACACCATCAACTTCAGCTACACCATCCTTCAGCTACCATCAACTTCAGCTACACCATCAACTTCAGCTACACCAGCAACTTCATACACCATCAACTTCAGCTACCATCACTTCAGCTACACCATCAACTTCAGCTACCAGCAACTTCGCTTCCACACCGCTTCATACACCAGCAACTTCAGCTACACCATCAACTTCAGCTATGCCATCAACTTCAGCTCGCCATCAACTTCAGCTACGCCATCAACTTCAGCTCGCCATCAACTTCAGCTTCGCCATCAACTTCAGCTGCCATCAACAAGCTACACCATCAAGCTACACCATCAACAAGCTACACCATCACTTCCTACACCATCAACTTCAGCTACACCATCACTTAGCTACACCATCAGCAAGCTACACCATCAACTGAAGCTACACCATCAACTGAAGCTACACCATCAACTGACTCATACGTCAACTTAAACTCGCCATCAGCTTAAGCTACACCATCAACTGAAGCTACACCATCAACTGAAGCTACACCATCAACTTCAGCTATGCCATCAACAAGCTCGCCATCAACTTCAGCTCATGCATCAACTTAAGCGCCATCAACTTCAGCTACCATCAACTTCAGCTACCCATCCTTCGCTCGCCATCAACTTCACGCTATGCCATCAACTTCAGCTATGCCATCAACTTCCTATGCCATCCTTCAGCTACACCATCAACTTCAGCTACACCATCAACTTCGCTTCGCCATCAACTTCAGCTTCGCCATCAACTTCAGCTCGCCATCAACTTCAGCTCGCCATCAACAAGCTGCACCATCAACAAGCTACACCATCAACTTCAGCTACACCATCAACTTCCTACACCATCCTTCCGCTTCACCATCACTTCAGCTACACCATCAACTTCATGCCATCAACTTAAGCTACACCATCAACTGGCTACACCATCCTTCAGTTACACCATCAGCAAGCTACACCATCAACTGAAGCTACCATCCTTCAGCAACACCATCAACTTCAGCTACCATCAACTTTAGCTATGCCATCACTTCAGCTATGCCATCAACTTCAGCTATGCCATCAACAAGCTACACCATCAACTGAAGCTACACCATCAACAGCTACACCATCAACTTCAGCTACACCATCAACTTCAGCTATGCCATCAACTTCAGCTACGCCATCAACTTCAGCTACGCCATCAACTTAAGCTACACCATCAACTGAAGCTACGCCATCAACTTCAGCTACGCCATCAACTTAAGCTACGCCATCAACAACTACACCATCAACTGAAGCTACACCATCAACTTCAGCTACGCCATCAACTTAAGCTACACCAGCAACTTCTGCTACACCATCAACTTAAGCTACGCATCAACTTCAGCTCGCCATCAACCTAGCTACCATCAACAAGCTACACCATCAACTGAAGCTACCATCAACAAGCTACCATCAACAAGCTCGCCATCAACCTAAGCTACACCATCAACTTGCTACACCATCAACAAGCTATGCCATCAACTTCAGTTACACAATCAACTTCAGCTACACCATCAACAAGCTACACCATCAACTGAAGCTACGCCATCAACTTAAGCTACGCCATCAACTTAAGCTACACCATCAACTGAAGCTACGCCATCAACTTCAGCTACGCCATCAACCTAAGCTACACCATCAACCTAAGCTACACCATAAACTTCAGCTACGCCATCAACCTAAGCTACACCATCAACTTATTAGCCATCAACTTCAGTTACACCATCAACTTCAGCTACATCATCAACAAGCTCGCCATCAACTTCAGCTACGCCATCAGCAAACTCGCCATCAACTGAAGCAACACCATCAACGACTACACCATTAACCAAGCTACACCATCAACAACTACACCATCAACTTCAGCTCGCCATCAACCTAAGCTACACCATCAACAAGCTACACCATCAACTGAAGCTACGCCATCAACTCAAGCTCGCCATCAACTTCAGCTACGCCATCAACCTAAGCTACCATCAACCTAAGCTACACCATCAACTTCAGCTCACATCAACCTAAGCTACACCATCAACTCAAGCTACGCCATCAACTTCAGTTACACCATCAACTTCAGCTACATCATCAATTTAAGCTACGCCATCAACTTAAGCTACGCCATCAACTGAAGCTACACCATCAACTGAAGCTACACCATCAACTTAAGCTACACCATCAACTTAAGCTACGCCATCAACCTAAGCTACACCATCAACTTCAGCTACACCATCAACTTCAGCTACGCCATCAACTTAAGCTACACCATCAACTGAAGCTACATCATCAACTGAAGCTACACCATCAACCTAAGCTACACCATCAACCTAAGCTACACCATCAACTTAAGCTACACCATCAACTGAAGCTACACCATCAACTTAAGCTCTGCCATCAACTTCAGCTACGCCATCAACTTCAGCTACGCCATCAACTGAAGCTACACCATCAACTTCAGCTACGCCATCAACTGAAGCTACACCATCAACTTCAGCTATGCCATCAACTTCAGCTACGCCATCAACTTCAGCTATGCCATCAACTGAAGCTACACCATCAACTTCAGCGACGCCATCAACTTAAGCTACACCATCAACTGAAGCTACACCATCAACTTCAGCGACGCCATCAACTTAAGCTACACCAAACAGTTGAACATTTTACTGCCATTCCAATTTAGATTGAATTATGAGTTTTCAAGGGTTTACTGTACAGGTGCTCCTCTACTTAAGAATGTTCAACTTACAAACTTTAAGAGATACAAACATCATCACTGAGGGGGGTTACCTGCCAGAACAGGTGTTTAATGCAGATGAGATTGGATTATTTTGGAGAAAATTCCAGATAGAACAAACATTACCTAAGAGGAGATGAGTGAGCCAAGTTTTAAAGCTGTATTAAAGGATATAGCTGTACTAAATATCCATAATCTTTCCATTTTTTACAATATGTTTGGTATCTACAGGAGTAAAGTTGGACTTACAAACAAGCCTCAGGAACGTAACTCGTTTATAAGTAGAGGAGCACCTGTATATCCTGCTGTTATAATAATTAAATGTCTAAATAATTCAAATAATTTATAAATGAAGACAAAAACAATAAAATTATACAAAATAAATATTGACTTTAATTTACCCTATATGGCTCTGGTTGAGATAATGTAGTAAGTTGTGATCCTCCAGCTGCCACTTGGAGGATCACCAAGGTTATTGTGGAAGAAACATGTGATGCCTGACAAACGCGTGTTTTGTAAACAAGCATCAGAGCCCATCGGGTAGTGACCATCATAAATCTGATCTTGGCCATCACATAGCAGTACAGTGAACCCTCGAAGATCCGGACTAAAAGGAGGGACCACCTGTCCGGAAAAGCCGATTGTCCGGATTTTCCGGCAAATAATAATAAATGATATAAGAAACACCAAAAATACAGTACTAATGTTGTGATAAACAAATAACCGTATATAAACCATGCATTTACCTATGATAACATAATAAGAAACATTGTATCATTACCAGAGTGAATGAAATAATATTACCACAAACAACAATTGTCAAATCTGTTTATGTTTCCCACCTCCTCGGGCACCTGTGTCCAAGCAGCTGACGGGTCAAGCAGCGCCCACGGGCCTAAAATGTTCTTTGCTTTGGTTTGGGAATGTTTCTTAGGGAAACTTCTAGGAGGCTTCTTAGCCCAGAATCCTCAAATTTTTTGTCCGGATGTTCCGAAATCCAGATTTCCAGGGTCCATATCTTCGAGGGTTGACTGTATTTAGCTTTAATTTCTTAACATCGTAAAGCTGATTGATCGTATATCAATCAATCGTATAATGGTCAACACCTGTATGAACTAATTAACTTAGAATCAATAATTAATTCTATTCAGACTTAACATAAAATACATATCTACAACACATCCTAGTAAGCAGCAGCACATTTCCAGAGGAGATATCAGTTAATTCAGCTTATTTGGCAAACTTTCAGAATGGAGCCCTAGGGAATAATACATCACAATTATGATAAAATAAGATAAACTTATTTGGATGAAGGTTACCAGCTCTAGCATGCTACAAAGACCAGCACTGTACTGTACTATCATCTCTCCTCAACATTACACCAGGATTCTCACACTGGAGTACACTACCACAGAGTGAAGAGGAATATTGTACACACCTCCTGTAGTAGTGCCTCAGCCTTCTCACTTGGAAGGAGTCGAAGACCTGCCGTAGCTTTCAAGACCAAGGGTGTGGAAGCCCAAGCCTGGCGAGGAATGCGGCCCTTGGCAAGCTCCAGCAATGGCAATAATGATTTGGCTCCCTGCAACATGTTAAAAACTTCAAGTAATACTTAAAATTTACAGAATTATAAAGAGTGAACTGCTTTGGTCATATAATTAGGGATGAAGGAATAACAACAGAAATATTAATTTGCAAAGTTGAGGATAGGAGGACAATGGTAGGAACAGACCAAAAACATTTAGAGAGAGGAACAGTCATTGTCAACCCTGAGATATAAGGAAGGTGATTTTATTGATCGATTGATTGAGTGACTGAACAAGACTCAATAAAATTCTAAATAAAACAGTGAAGACAATGCCTAAATGCAAAATTAAGGATTTTTTTTCCTCATTCTAAAACATAGCTAAAAACAAAGAGGCAGCAGGCTTTGGACGGAATAAAGAAAATGCACACCTCAGATAAGCATCAAATTGAACAAAAACATAAATAATAATAATAATAATAAATAATAATAATAATAATAATAAAGTGGTCTCTTGGTTGACGAACGGTTTGATTAACAAAATTTCGGTTAATGAATTAGCTCCCATAAGGATTTTCAGTTCGATTAACGAAATCCCACGACAAGTGTGCGCATCAGCAGATCGGCCAGTCCGCCAATACAGTAATTGGTTCTACAGTAGGCTCTCTCCAATAACGTTAATAGGTGCCTGAAAAACGCCGTTATCACCGAAAACGTTATTTGTGTGACATTAAAATACATGAAAGTCGGTTTATTGGTGCTGCCGCCCCAAGAATTTCACCCAATTTTTCCCCCTTAGAAGCCCTCCTAAAACTTTTTGTTTGCTGAAATAAAAAGAATTGGTAATCAATCATCAAAGAGTATTGAGTATTATAACACTCAGCTTGGGGGAGTTTTTGAGGTGCTTGTGATGATTGTTCCATATCTGAGGGTCACTAAGACTTGCACTGTCTTTCATTCTACAAGCTAACCATTTCAAAAGAAAATGCTCTGTTATCACTGACAACCTGTTTCAATCACTTTTATCATTCATAGCCCATTTCACATTTCCATCACTACCTTAATATTTTTGCACTGTAGACTCAGGACAGTTCAATTTCCTCACAATATCAATGTTACATGCACCACTTTCAATGAGCTCAACAATCTGTTCTTTATCCTTGATCAAGTAAGCACGCTTCTTGTGGCTTTGACTCTTAGCTTTGGGATTTTTTTTTCTCATTCACTTTAAAAGTTCCCGGCATTCAGGCGGCAAATCACTCCGCCCACCACCTCCCTAACCCCCACAGGCAAAATGCGAAGCCATTATTGATCGACCCTAACAACCACTGGTTATAGAGGCGAAAATCTCACATCTGGGTGCAGCGCTGTATTCCACAGAGCCGAAGTGGTGGGAGGCGGACAACCACGCTATCAGCATGGCGGCAAACAAACGCTATCATTGATGCGCACGGACGCTTCCCACAAAATCTCCGTTATCAGAGAATCCAGACGTTATTATCGAAAATGGGTATCTATTGTAACTTACCGTTATTGTCAAAAGCGTTATTGTGGAAGTCGTTATTGGCGAGAGCCTACTGTATGTTTACATTTGTTTCCAGTGGAGTAAATATCAAGAAAGTTGGTCTCTTGAATATTTCTGCATTTTTATAATAAAATTATTGGTCATTCTGAAATTTAGTTAACATATTGATAATACAGACAGTACAGGGAACAGTTTTTGTGCGCACATCAGCTGATTGAATCACCCAACAACGCTTCTCACTTTAACTTTGTTTACAGTGGAGTGAACATCGATTTTGTTGGTCTCTTGAATATTTTTGCATTTTTGCATTAAAATTATTGGTCATTCTGAAATTTAGTTAACATATTAATAATATACAGTGCAGAAATTATTATGAAACATGAAGAAGGCATTAGAACCAATGCACTCTGTAAAGAATATGGCATGTCATCATCAAATGCCTCTACAATCAGTTGTTTGATATGTACCATAATCAAAGCTGTCGGGAATACGACATACACACCTCAAAGTAAGTTAAGATACAGTATAGTATTCTATTGTTTTTTATTCATTATTATACAGTAAACTGTACAGTACAGTACTGTATTTAGTTTATATTTAATGTTTTGTTAAATCTATTACTGTACTGGTATACAGTAATTTTATATGCATACTTTTTCTGTGAGTTGGAACTAATTACCCAATATCCCATTGAAATAATATCAGGTTAACAAAATTTTCGGCTAACGAATGACTCTGTGGAACGAATTGTGTTCGTTAACTGAGGGACCACTGTATACAGAATGACATCTACACAGAGAAAATTTAAAAATAACAAGAAGCAGCACACCACAATGTTTTCTGACAGCAAGCTCTCTTATAAAAAAAATTAAGTTTATATTCAAGAGAGCAATACTCGGTATCACACACACACAGCAGCATACACAGCCACACTACAGGTCACATACAACTTGGAGAGACCTCAGACAGCCACATGTGAGGTTGTACACACTCCAGCAATATGAATGGGAACAAATACCTCAACAGGATCATCGGCGTAGCTGGAGAGACCAGGCTTCACCTCGTACAGCTCATCATCCAGCTTCAAAGAATTGTCTGCAAGTAACATAGAGGATTAAAGCTAATAATATATATATATATATATATATATATATATATATATATATATATATATATATATATATATATATATATATATATATATATATATATATATATATATATATATATATATATATATATATATATATATATATATATATATATATATATATATATATATATATATATATATATATATATATATATATGCAAGTAAATCACTGTAGGTGCTGTTGAATTTCAGGGTGAGTACAGACAGTCTGTACTACCCCTGAAGATGTGAATTACACAAAGCTTTAGAACTTCTGTTCTTTTCTTTCCTTGTGGTTACTAGCATATATATATATATATATATATATATATATATATATATATATATATATATATATATATATATATATATATATATATATATATATGCAAAGCTGTCCAATCTCAAGTGCATTACACTCTTCACTATTACTGTAGTACAAAGTAAAAATAGGACTTAATTTTATCTGAGTAATAGAGGGTTTGATATTGAATTCCTACTGCTACAGGAGCCCAGAACCAAGCACCTTTTTACTTGCTTATCTAGTATGAGGGATGGTCCATCATGTCTTGCCTCCTTTTGGGCCTAATCTTATTCATTCTTCCCTTATCACATTTATTGGCCTCAAATCAGGAACATCAGACATAAATATTCCTCCCTATACAGGAAGGAGACCTTTTATATACAGCTACATACAATATGATTCCAAGACTGATGCACTATCTTGGATCCACACAGTCTCCCAGCTAATAGAACACAAATGAACCAAACAATGCGATGACTCCCTCATCATTCACTCCTTATGGTTATCCTGAAAACCCCACTAAAATAATATGCCTTTGGTTCCAACATCCCTTGAAACAATGGGCGACATCACAAATATTGTCACCAAGTCCCATGTTCCTGACCTGACTTTCTGCCTCATTTACTCACAATTGCAGGGTCTAAATTGTTTCTCTTTCTTTGAAAACACAACATATAGTACAGCCACTCCTTGACTTACGACGGGGTTAGGGACCCAAATCCAGGTCGTAAGTCAAATTGATCGGAAGTCGAAAATGCGAAGATAACACATAGAAAATCCAAAATGGGTGTCTCTTTTTCTTCTCAGCACCACAAAACTCTCACTTTTAAGCTTGACAGCCATCTTAAGGGAATTACAAACGAAAGTTTTGTCAGTACACAGCGCAATCACTAAAATCGGTACTCGAAAATATGTACAGTAAAACCTCGATTAACCGACCACATATGGGGGAAAGGGGCCGACGGATAATCGAAAAGGTCGGTTAATAGTACATAAAGTTTACGGAAATAAGACATACATTTTCAAAGTACCTTTCCCTAACCTACCTCATTTAAATCCCTCTATTTATTTTTGTTCATTTGCCATTCATATTTCAATAGAATTCACTTTAAAACATTAACATCAACTCTTTCATCACCTTAGTTCACATAGACGCGGAGGGGGCGTTGCCCTCGTCTGTCAAGATGACCTACGCCCGTCACGCCTGGATGTTCAAGTCCCAGCAGATGTGGAAGCATTATGGGTACGTGTCGTGCTACGGGCCCACCCGCGCAACACTGCTTCCATCATAATCTGTGTGGCATACCATCCGCCTCGCTCACCCACCAGAGACACTCTTATCAATCATCTCATTACCACCTCAGACCACCTCAGAGTTAGGTACCCATGTGCCAAGTTAGTATTATGTGGGGATTTTAATGAAATTGACACCACTGATATCCAGGACCAGCTATCACTATCACAAGTTGTGACCTTCCCCACACACGGTCAAAATACCCTTGACCTTATCTTAACTGACTTAGCGGACCAGTACCAACCACCTCAACCAATGCCTCCTATCGGGTGTAGCACACACTTATCAGTGCTCTGGTCCCCAGCTGCCACTCCCACTCAAGCACAGAGACCCTACATCAAGACCTACAGGCCGATTACTGACTCTGCAGTGCGCCTCTTCGGGCAGTGGATAGTTCACCATCCCTGGACTGAAGTACTTAGCGTGGATGACGTGGAAACTAAATGGATAAATTATACCAACACCACCACGGAAGCTCACCACCACTTCTTCCCCGAGAAGTCCGTCAGATCTCACCCAGCTGACTTGCCCTGGATCACACCTCGGATCAAAAGACTTATGCAACAGAGAGACAGAGCCTTTCATCTCAATGACCACATCCGCTACAGGTCCCTTCGCAACCGAGTCATCCGCGAAATACGCACTGCAAAGAAGTCCCACTACCCAACCAAATTACAACACCTGAAGCAGACCAACATCAGTCAATGGTATGGTAAGCTTAAAGAACTCTGTGGACTAAACAATAAGACACACCCCCTCCCCTTCCTTAGCCATCTCACTAATGTTGACGCAGCTGAGCAAACAAACAACCATTTCGCTACTATATGCCAGACGCTCCCCCGGCTTGACACAACCACTCTCCCTGCTTACCTACCAGCCCCCTTCCCACTGACTTAGTAGAAGAATTTGAAGTAGCAAAACGCCTGGACAAACTAAAATTAAAACGCTCTACCACCCCCATTGACTTACCAATGAAACTTTTGAAGGAGTTCTCCCCGGAGCTCCTTAAACCCCTATGCTCCATCATCAATGCTTCTCTCAGTCAAGCCAGATGCCCAGCTGACTGGAAGACCTCTTATGTATCACCAGTGCCCAAGTCAACCAGCCCACAATCCTTAAATCAGTTACGACCTATTGCAATCACCCCAATACCCAGCCTAATCTGTGAAAGTTTTGTGTTCGACTGGGCTTATGCTGATATTGCAGGAGTTGTAGACCCTCAGCAATTTGGCAACATGAAAACTTCCTCCACCACTCACTGTCTTGTCAGCTTTCTCGATTACATATACCGCCATCTCGAGAAACAAAAAACGTCTGTAGCTGTCGCCTTCATTGATTTCACTAAAGCGTTCGACCTAGTCGACCACAACATAATCATCAACAAAGCTATTGACCTCGGGCTTCGGAGAAGTCTTATACCATGGCTTACAGACTTCCTCAGTGACCGACGCCAAGCTGTACGCTTCCGAGGGGCTGTCTCCACCTTTCAGTCACTCACCTGTGGCGTCCCCCAAGGCACCAAGATGGGACCACTCTGCTTCCTTATGCTCATCAATGATGCCCTAAGAGAAACCCCTGCTCGCTGGAAATATGTCGACGCCTCCACCATTGGGATCAGCGTCAACAATTCTGCTCCCAACTATACCGCTTCTTCAGGATTTATTGAACAGTCTCCAAAACTGGGCCAACTCAACAACCATGTCACCATCAACCATACCAAGACCATGGTTATGCACATCAACCTCCTATTGTCCCACCCCCTTCCATTACTCTAGGTCCGAACACACTCCAGGTTGTAGATTCCACGAAGCTCCTCGGCGTCACCATAGACAACAAACTAAATTGGAAACCACACGCCAGTGAAGTTATCAAATCCTCCAGTTTCCGTCTCCACCTCCTACGCCGACTCAAGTCCCTCGGAGTTCCTGCACACGAGCTCCTCAGTGTTTACACAACATTCATACTTCCCAAGCTCACCTATGCCTCCCCCACCTGGTCTTCCTCCCTAAATGCTACACAACGTAAACACCTAGAAAAAGTGCAAAAGAGGGCATGCCAGATTATTCTCTCCCCTTCCTACTCCACATATCAAGAAGCGCTCAACACACTGACCCTTTCGACTCTCACTGACCATCACCACGACCTCATCTGCAATTTGGTAAGAAGCCACACCATCCCCGGCGACCGCCCTACTACCACCTGAGATCCCTTTAGTCCGAGAATTCATGTTCGACACCACAAATCCCAAGATCCAGCCCATACGCAGTAATTTAACTGATCGCTATAAGAAAACAAGCCCAGTCCTTAAACCATTGTAAAAATTATCACCAACTTGTAAATAAAATCAGTGTATTCACTCCCAGTAAACACTACTCCTTGCACTGTCACTATGTTGAAATGAACTGTAGTTTGAGCTTTTCCCCATCTAGTTATTATATGTCTTATTTGTGTCACTCATGTTACTTGTATATTATTTGTAATTCGTAACCCATTCCCCAAATATGTAACTGTATATTTTCAGCCTTCTGGCTGCCAAGCTCTTTCAATAAACCATTAATTATTATTATTATTATTATTATTATTATTATTAAATAAATATGAACCAGCACAGAAACCGTGAATAAAAAATGGAAAAGTCAAAGAACATATGTCATCACAAAAATTGTGACCAAGTCCCAGGTTGCTGATCTGACTTTCTGCCTCATTTACACGCAATTGCAGGGTCTCAATTGTTTCTCTTACTATTGACAACACAACATACATACAGGTACATTGTTACTCACTCTTGATTTTTTTTCATTTTTGCATTTCTTTATGGTTCTTTATTACTACAGTAAAAGTCCAAAAATCCGGATGCCAGGAATCCGGACCCCCCGAGAATCCGGACTTTTCGAAAACTCAAACTTTTTAAATTTAGCGGGGGCTTTTGTGGGTTATGTGAATGAATGGAGTTGCTTTAAAAAATTAATTTACATAATTCTAATAATAAAAGTAATTGTAAATTATAGGAGGCTAATTTTGTTAGTTTTGTAATTAGCTTGAACTGAAATGTAAAATTTGAGGCAGTATAAATCTTTTGTGTGTATGTGTGCATGCGTGAATGCCACAGCTGCACAGAGACAACAAACGACCACACGATCGCCACTTTAAAACAAGCAATCAAACTGTGACAACGTATGTAATTTTGAGTCCTACTCTTTCCATGTACAGAGTACAAGCCCATAATAATGGCCCCTAAAGTAGATAAACTTTGTTGTGTGAAGAGAAAGAAGAACACATTGAAATTGAGTGACAAACTTGAAATAATTAAGAAACTAGAATGTAATGTGAGGAATGCTGTTCTAATGGAAACATACAACATTGGAAAGTCT